CGGACCTCACCCTCTATGGTGCTGACCGATCTCCTTGTTTAGATCTGGGAATACGAAGTCATTCCTATGGACTGGGGCAGGAGCCTGATATTGAAACTTCCGAAGAAGGGTGACCTCAGCAAATTTAACAACTGGCGAAGCATTTCACTTTTGTCCATTCTTAGCAAGGTCTTCTGCAGATTCCTCCTCAAAATCGATCGGCAGGGACAGGCGGCATTTCTGAAAGATCGAGGCTACATAAATCAGAATTTTGCTCTTCAGTACATCATTTGCATATTGAGCAGTGCATCGATTGTAATCTCTCCTTGTTTATCAACTAACTTCATCGACTTCAAAGAGGAATTTGACAGTGGTTACCGTCAGAACCTATGGAAGATCCGTATGATTAGTTTAAGACGGTTTCCGCTCAAAGTCCGAGCAATAAGTGCAAATATTATTTACTAAAAATCTACTCATAGCATGGTAACTTTTGGAATACTATTTGAACAACTTACGTCAGTTCATTTATGTAAGTGACCCCGCGATTAAATTCTCAAGCATTCTCGAGAAAGTTAATGTCAAACCTCGTAAGAACGCTTAGAGCGTGTGTTATTGGGTTTTTAACCAACGCGAAACGTCTGTTTTAATTGAAATATGGATAACTTCAAGTTCATTTTTCCCTCGCGGGGTCACCTTGAGAGCTAAAGTCTTGATAAGTTCCTCTTAACTGTATTCAAAATATTACCATGCTGTTAGGCTTTTTTGGTAACTTCATTTTTGCCATTATTCCTCGAATGTTCTGCGGAAATCATCTTAAATTTCGTTTCAAGAGCAGTCCTTGCAGACTGCTTAAACTCGACGAATTCACCATCGTCGCACGGCTGTGATTCAAGTTTACCCAGTTGCTTTTCATAGTTCAGACAGCTCGATTTCTCTTCGTCTGTTTTATAGCTAGGCAATGTTCCTTTTAATCAATACAAAATCAGATTTAGTTTATCAATCTTGGCAAACCGGTGCATGCAAAATATGATTCTCTCTGTTTTTAAATGCCTTCACTTTTGTACATACCGTAAATCTCCTGAATACTTAAAGATTTGTTTAGTCTGCGATCGAGCACTTATTCCTTAAGAGGAACTGATATCTTACCCTACCTAAAATAAGTACAACAACTTATGGCCTTAATTCCTTTAGTTACTAGGCGGCCAATTGCAAATCCTGGAATGCACTTCCAAATCAATATCCTACTGTTACAAATTTTAACACCTTCCGCAAATTAATTATGTCCTGTGATATTGCATAGATTTAACTTCTTTGTTCCAATTTTTTTTCATTATTTCTCATTCCTAACGAGGAAGGTCGAAGAAGAAAAGGTCGAAGAAATTAACAGCAATGCTATCCTGTAAATTTGAGGGTAAATAAAGTTTATGATGAAGATGCATACATACATACATACATCCTTTATTATCTTTCCCCATGGGGGCTTTTCGAAGACAATATGGTACAATACTGCAATTAAATACTAATATACTATGATGATAATGATAATGACGACGACGACGGCTTCGACGTCGACGATGATGATGATGATTGTTTGTTTGTTTGTTTGTTTGTTTGTTATCTGGGACATAATTCTTCTCTCTTCTCAAATGTAAATGAAATTCCTCGCGACTCATACAGCGAACACCACAACGCAAATTTTGCCACCTTTTCATATCATCACTTCTTTTAGATCAAAATAAAAGGTTCACATCAAATCACAAACGGGGTGCTACCGTGACGCGGCTCGCGTGTTATTTACCGCTTTGTATTCAACGTGGGCTCATGAGGATGATAAGTAAATTTCACAGGTGGATATTAGGAGTAGTGACAGAAAGATAAGAAACACAGAAGGGACATGTTTAGCCATTAGCATGAAACAATATTGCTTCCGCTATAATTATGGAATTTGCCGAATACATTTTGTTATTTTCTTGGTATATTATTACTTGACTAGAAATAAAATATTATTTTACACTGAAAAACAAGAACATGGCTTCCTTACTTTCAGGGATTTCGATCAAACAACATGTGCCATTTTGCTTTTGGTTTTTTCAACACGGAACACAGTACAGGAACAATCTCTCTGGTCCGGTATTCTGAAGTACGAAAGTTAGAATGCATGAATGAATTTTAATTTAAAATTAAAAGCTTTTTAAAAATCCCCGGCAGCATAAACGAAAAAAAAAACTAATTAGAATAAAGCGATGGTATTTTTGCTAAAATTGCAAAACTACACGTGAATTATTCATGGTAGAAAAAAAAAGCCAACAATTCAGATACATCAATCACTGAAAATACGAACTGACATTTAATGTAAACGTTTCGCAAATTAGTAGTTTCCTTAGGTAAACCACAAGTTATATTGCAAATGCAAAACAACTGTCACCGTGGCTTTGAGTTCTCCGCCCTTGAGTGAAATTATTGGTCTTAAGTAAGCCGAGAATAAACAAGCACATATGAAACATATCAACAATAGTCAGATGTTTTATCGTGCGGCAACGACACCGCAAGCGGCGTTGCATTTCAGTGTCAACCAGAACGAACGCGCTTAGAAGCAGGTTCCTTGAAGCTGTTCGCTGGAGATCGATCCATCAAAGTCAGCCGAGTTGTGATCTCGTTTTAATTGATCATGAGCTAAATGGCAAAAGGTGAGCGTGGCTGGGAAAAGGAGAACTCACTGCCGTGCTGATTGTTGGCAATCTATTTGGGTTAAACAAGTACATGAAAATCACTGCTGATTCATACACAATGCAAAATAGTTCACTATGGAGTTTTAGCAGTACAAACGCTACACCGCGGATCAAGGATTACAGTTGTAAATCGTACCCAAGCGAAACAGACCTAACTAGAGGAGTGAAGATATTCTGTTACTGTGTCCTGCTGCTGTTTTCAGTCCTTGGCAACATTTTGCTCGTTGTTATTGTTAAAAGAAACAAGCGAATGCAAACCATTACCAATTATCTCATTGTCAATATGGCGGTTTCAGATATACTAGTAACAGTCTTGGCCATACCGCGGCGGATAACAGAAGTATTGCTTGGACCTAGGAGATGGCTATTTCACGACTTACTGGGCTCACTTCTCTGTAAAAGCTTGTCCTTCTTTCAAGACATCTCAACTGCGGTGTCCATTCTAAGTCTTGTAGTCATAGCCATTGATAGGCACAGAGGAATTGTGCACCCGTTACGCAAACAACTTTTCAATCCCGGAAAACTCTGTAAAATCGTCATTCCCCTAATATGGATCACTTCGATGGGTCTTCACGCAGTGTACTTCTACATTTTTAGAACAGTCACCGACGATACAAAAACCTATTGCGCGCTAACCTGGGCTCCCAAGTTTGACGATAGAAAATCTCAAGAAACTTACTATCTGATATTGTTGTTTTGTCTAATCGTTGTTCCAACATGTGTAGTTATAATATTGTATTCGTCGATTATCCTGAATCTCAAGAGGAGCAGGATTGCAAGATGTAAGGGGCCATCGAACTTCGTCACATCACGAAGGTCAAGAGAGGATACGAAAGTTGTGAGGATCATCATTGCAATTCTTATAGCTTTTATCGTTTGCTTAATCCCAATCAATGTTTACGCTATTTTGATATTTTTTGTGTGGGATCCCGGAAAATTCCCCTGTGGCATTGACAACGCTGGTTTTGCAGTTCATTTTATTTTGTATTCAAACGCTTCGGTGAATCCATGTATATATTTTATTTTGAATGATAAATACCGCAAGGGTTTGCTGAGTATTTTAAGATTGTTGCATATTGTCAAGAACAAGGACTCAGTGGAGAACAGCTCGATAGAGCTTGTAACTCTAGTGAAAGAGCGGCAAACTATTCCAAGTTGACTGTTCAAATACCTTCTTTTTTATATAAATAAAAGTACCTTTCAATAAGATTTGATGGAAGATTGTTTTTTCCAGCTCCAACGGGCTGTGGGAAATATTCTGTATAAACAGAATATTTCGTTAAGGATTGTCTTCACCGGTCCTTGCTTTTATTTCATATTTTATACTATAAAGCAAAACAGTAACTTTTTCATGATATCAAGATAAACCTATTTTTCCTCTCAAAATGTTTAGCAAAACTTGTCTAATTGTTTATCGAATAAAACTGACTTTAAATCAGCTTAATCGCGGACGAATTGACCTTGTCGCCTAGTGGTAAAACACAGCCAAACCTTAATTCATAATTTAATGAAATGGAAAAGCCATTAAGAGATAGTTCAGTTTTTTGAGAATTAAATCGTTGGCTAAATGAACGTAAACCCGACCAACTACGATGTCGAAGTGGCAGACACCTCTTGAACTTGTCTATTTTGGCAGACAACTAGTCTCCTTTGATAAATCAAGCTGAAAACGTTTTTATAAATAATTATCACTGAACACGAACCAGTTCGCGAGGCAACTACTTTCACTAAACATTGCGGCAACACTAGCAAAGGAAGGAAAAGCCACAAGATCGCGAAATGGTTTTAGCCAGGATAGAAATAATCCTTCTGCTTTTAACAATACGCATTTCGTATTAATCATGCTAACATTAATCGAAATATCGTTTATCATAAACTGAAATCCATAATGCTTTTTTGAAATCACTCCTGGCGTTTGAGGTTTTCCCATGCACCGGCAATTATTTAATCCTAATCATTTAAACCTACGATCCCAAAATAAGCGCCGTTTAAAATTTATCGCTGGTCCACAATTCCAGCCTGATTAAACTGAAAAGGACGCGCCAAATGCCGTTACAGCATTGCCACAATGTTGTTATACATGTAAAAACATAACAGTTATCAAGTGATAAAGATTCTATGCATGCGCTTTGAAGATCAGTGGTATTTTCTGTTGATAGTTGTACTTTCCCATATGTTTGTTGTGCTTTCTGATATAAGCTGCGCTTACCGAAGTGTACGAAGTAAGTTTTGCTTTCTGATGTTAGCTCTGCTATCTTATGTGAGTTCTACTTTCCGAAGTTAGTCGTGCTTTCCGATGTCACTCGTTCCTTCCGATTTCAGTTCCACTTCTCGACATCTTCGTATCAGTGATATCGATCTACAACTTTCCAATATCAGTTGTGGCTTCCCGATGTTGATGTTAATGTTGACATGTCCACGTTTATTCTATCGATAACGATCTATTTACTACCTCGATTCAAAAAGAAAAAATCTTAACGGAGTACGGCTCAATAGGTCAGACTTTTCTCTTTTCACCTTTTGAAGAAGGGCCTTTTTGACGATGGTACGCGCAATATAAACAATTTTCCGTATTCTTCATATACACAAAATAAAAGCACCTCCACAGATCAATTGATAACGCGGAATATAGTAAATGCGCGGAATTTCATAAGAATCTGTTGCAAGCTCATGAAAATTTGGGGCTCATACCAAAATTGCCAAACTTAACAAAGAAATCGTGACGTTTGCTAGGTGGCAGGCGTTGCCCACTGGATGACATAACAGATGGCCATTAACTATGCAAAGCAGTCAGTGATAATGAAGTAGATAATGTACAAAGCGCGGTCTGAATGGTGATGCCGCGCACTTTCTCGCGTAAAACTCTCTTTTTCGCTGTGATTTACCAAAGAAACTGGGAACAAAGGAGAGTCCAACATAGCGGAGGAGGGTTGCGTCTTCAGTGGTTGGTTACATACATGTACTGTTGTGAGAACTACATACAAATTCAGCAAACCAGTTAGTCACCGGCACAATATATATTTTAATATAATGTCATGCAACCAAAACCTGAAAAAAAAAAAAAAAAACCAACCAGTCACAAAGGATACAAACAATCCACTGAACGAACAAAAAAACCTGAAGAAAATTAAATACGTGAAGCTAATGCATCACAGGAATATTTGAAGTGCGCGAGTCACAATTTTAATGGGTTCTGGTTCAATTATTCCATCTGGATGACAAAGTGGCATGAATTTCTTTTTTTTGTTGTTTTAAAGTCAATCACTTAATGCAGTAATGTCGAACAAAAGCAAATGCAAATTACTTTCGACTCTAAAGTAAAAATTGCTCAAGTACCCATTCCATTTGTCTATTTTGATTACTTTGGTAAAATAACACTACTTTTACACATGTTTGTTTAGCCTCGCTTTCCGTCGCTCTATCGCGTCCGGTTCCCGCGCTCAACTGATTGATCAGTCGTTTTTCTTACCCTTCTGGATGCACGCTGTACTCTTGCTCCTTTGATCATTGGATAACTGGTTAAAAAGCCCAAACATATATCTAAAGTAATTTTAAAAACCTTGTTAGGCTGGAAAAGGATGGTGCACATCAACAGCATCTGCTTAGGAATTCTTCTTCCCTGTGTCCATACTTTCCTTGTAGAAAACAGCCCTAAGAAAATACACGCGTTAATTGTTTAAAAATCGTGGCAAATGTTGTTGTTTATAGTGGTCAATGCGCTTAGCTACACCTAGATAGTTCACAGGCATGCCACTTTAAATGAAGGAAACAAATATATCAACTAAACGTAATAGGCTTAAAAATCCCAACCGGCGGGAGGCAGACCACTTGGCTATTTACAAGCATGGCCGAGGAGTTGAACTAGGGTCTACCGCGAAACAACTCCGGCTAAGTGGTCAGAGCGGGACTTGAACCCGCGACCTCCGGATTTCAAGTCCGGCGCCCTAACCACTCGGTCACGCTGCCTCCGTGTTTCTATCTCGTGATAGTTAAGAGGGCGCAGCCCGAGTCAACTATCACGCATAGAAATCGAGAGCGAATAGTCTAATTGTGTAGTGTAAATCTACTAGTCGTTCAAAACGTTATCTAAATCCTCTTCACAGACACTATAACTTGATAGAAACACGGTACATGTTTTCTATTTCTTAAATAAAGGTTCTAAAAAGTAAAGAAAATTTCTAATCATTGGCGTGTTGACTGGCAAGGTGGCTGATCACTCTCAAAACGGTTTCCAGCACTTTTCAAGACGCAGATTTTGATGGATCCTTTATTGTTTTCATTGTAACCACAGCATGTTACTCTGAGTCGATTTTCATGTGAGCGGTTGAAATCTGCTGCTGCAAATGTT